GATCTGTTGATTCATCAATCAATAAGGAAATTGAGAACTCTGTTCAAGCCTGTTTGCTAAAGGTTAATTTAAACATTTTCCTAAAAATATCTTCGTTGTGTAGTTTTTGTGTGTTTTCCCCTCCAATGACAGACTGTAGAGAAATAAAATTATGTGTTAGCATTACATTAAAGGATCATTTGCCAATAACTGTCCTCATGAATGAAATTTTACTCCACATTTGTTCCTCAATCTGCTCGGAGCTCTACATATTTGAATTATCTAAGGAAATTTTGGTCGTTCATCATCTAAGTTTTTCTTGTAGTGCGAGTAAGTAGCCTGTTACTAACATCTTGTGTTCTGGAAATATTAACTCCCCAACAGACAGAATCTTGAACTATTTATGTTAACAAATTGTAGAAGTTCAATTTGAATTGAATAATTTATATATTTACAATAAGTAAATTCAATCTTAGGAATGAGGAAACCAAAATTTGCTTGCAGATCGATCTAACGGACTATGACCCACTGCTGCATGAAAGAGGCTTTCATCAAAAACTAAATGTGCTTGTCAAAGAAAGCCTACAATTTGGGTGAGTGTCCAGCTAACGTGTGAAAATGAATTTAGTTAAGAACGCCCTTTGAACATGAATAACCTCTCAAAAACTAAACAACTATTTTTTCTTTCTTTCAAAAGAATTAAAAAATATTCCATATTGGAATTACCAGTCCTTTTGAGCAGATGCTGCCAAATATAGCTACTGACTACTTATTTTTTGTGGATGATCATTTACTACACGAACTGCTGAGAATTCTTACATTTTATTTTTTGAAGAAAAAGGATGACCTTATATTTTAATTCCAATACTTTCTTTGGCTCGTTTTTTTCTAAATGAACCGTGTTAGCAAACAAGTTGATTAGCTGAATATTCAAAGTTGTCTATATATGTTTTCAGGTTTGTGATTGATTAATATATATGATATATATCATTATGCTGTAGGTCAATGTTTTCTAAATTAGAAGGTTCATTTTCGGAACCATGCTCAAGTCAACAACCTTCGACTGAGGTAATCCGTAAAGCAGAACCTGCCACCGGTGTCATAATGAATGAAGAATCTTTGACATTGGATATTGCGGATCATCAAGACAAAACCATAGCCTGTATTACAGAAGAATGGAAGCAATTGGTTGTAAGTGAAGACCCAAAGTTGTACACTCCATCTTGTATGTCCGAATCCATGTTGGGTCAATCGAGTGTATGTGTATCACCACGGGATGGTAATAATAAACAGCTAGACAGGGAAACTTCAAGGATTCTGGAGAGATTGGAAGTTCCGAGGTCATTAAAAGCAAAGAACATCTCTCCTAGTTCAAATGAAAGTTGCATGAAATATACCAATGTGCCCATAAAGAAGCCTCTTATACCATTCCAGCCATCTCAAAGTACAGACCAAGTCTTTGTCGGCAGCCAGCTAATGAAACCTAATTTCCAGAGGCTAAAAAGGAAACATAGATGAAAAGAAGGCAACCCCATTTTACACGTAGACGTAAACATATGTTCAGAAAGTCGATAAGGTTTATTTCTTTTCCTCTTCTGCATTCTGTTGCGAGTATTTTTTTTTTTTTTTTTTTTTTTAAACATGCCTAAAATCATGAAACAAGTTTTAAGGGCCGAGAAGTGTGCAAATGATTAAAAATTAATGTTCATATTTGTTTGACAAGCGTTATTGGTTTACAAGAGAAGAATTATTTTGTTTAAAAGTTTATTTTATATATTAAGGTTTTAAATAAACTGATTATCCTATCCTTAAATTTACCGATAAGCTTACTGAACACAATATCTATCCTTAAATTGATTTCCTCTCATTTCTCTTCATAAGATTCTATTATTATTCTAAACGTAACTAAAAATTTACATTGAAAAAGTCGATAAAAAAAATCATTTTTAAGAAAAATAAGAACATATACCAGGCTACCATGAAATTTTTTGAAACACTCAGTATCACAATTGTTTCATCTATTCAACAAAAAATGTTCTATCTCCCATTCTTCTATTCTATGCTTCTTCATTGTTGTCTCCAAAGCTTCAGCCAGGGTAGCCATGGCAAAATTATGCTCGTCGCTCGTGATTATTCCTTTCTCACTTGAAAAACCAACGATTTGTGACTTCCTTGCATTTTTCTATTCAAACTGTGCAGTCAATTTTCCTTGCTAATATGGTCTGTATAGCTCAAATTACTAAGGTAGTACCGTGTTTGTTTCATATGTAATTGATTTGGAATTTAACTTTTATCATATTCAATTAGAATCAAATCAATAAAATGTTATAAAAATTACTCCACATATCAGATGTATGATTTATAAACTTAACGAATTCGAAAATGTAAGTTAATTATAATGATCAGTTTATTTTTAAATAATTGAGTTGGTTTGATTAAAAAAATAATTTTTAAATAAAAAATGAATTAATTTAGACTAATAAAAAATAATTAGTTTAAATTTATTATTTTTCTAAAGCTTGATCCAATTTGACTCGCGAAAGCAATAGAATTATTTCAAATAATCATGATTTTGACTATTGGAAGAGTACTGGAAATGAATCCTCTCCAATAATATTACTAATTTAAAAAATTAATGAAATTAAGATATAATTTGTTTGTGCTTATTATTGTGAAATAAATGTTTATTTTAGTAAACAGAATTATGTTTTTAAATTTTTTGTTTATTTTAGTAATTTTTTTTACTTTATAAATGAGTGTTTATTTTAAAAGTATTTATTCGAAAAATACTTCAGTTTAAATACACTTGCTAAGATTGTTGCATTTCACCTTCTCATTTTTCTTTTTCACGATTGGAAATGCACTGCTCATGTACCAGAGTCCAGAATGTTTGGACTTTCTAGCTGGTGTGGAATAATTGAAGCAACGATCACAATCCAAATTTGAACACGTAATGTGTTTTCAGCTTTCCCCCAAAGAGAAAAGAAATAAAGTAAAGCAAGAAATAAGAGTAACATGCATTTGTCAAAAAGCAATTTTTGTTTCGAAAGTATCTATGATTAGTTAGAAAGCAAGTAATTATACACTACTTTCATCTGTATTATGACACCAACAAGGAAACAACTACACTAAGTTTTATTTGATATTCAAATTAACTTTCTTTTTTTAGTCTTATAGATAACTTCGTAACATATGAGAACTCTGAAATAATAATATCTTAAATATAAAATTTTATCTTAATAATATATTATTATAATAATTATCAGTGTGAATAATAATAATATTATTATAATCAATATTAGATTGGGACAATTTTAATCAATATCTTTATGGTAATTATTTTTTAATCATATTTTTTTTTTCATTTGCAAAACTGAAACTTAAACCTTTATTTAAAGGATGTGTGAATACAGTTTTATTTAGACTAACGATTTGTTTAGTATATAAGGCCGGATTTTCATCATTCACTAAATAATATATTATTAATAAATAATAAATAAATATAAAAGAGTGAAACAAGATGAAAAGGTGAGAAAATAAAATTATAAATATATAAATAAATATATTAAATGATCATTAAGATTGAGGAGATAAAATAATAAATTATATAAGAATTAAGAGTGATGAGATGATAAAATTATAAATATACAAGTAAATATATTAAATAATCATTAAGTTTAGAAGGAAAAATGATTAAACTATATAAAAATTACAAAATTTTTGGGAGGCATAACCCTCCTCAACTCCGAAAAAATCCATCACTAACGTTACGATCGGATTTGTTTAGTTGAGTCAAGGGAAAAAATTAATTTGGTATATTCGGTTATAAAAATTAAAGAATAAATATTTTAAAATTTTGTAAAATTTGTTGTATTATTTTTTACTTCTACTCTTTTTTTTTTAAATCATCAAATTACACAATCTTCAAAATATTTTCTGTTTAGATCTCATTTATTTTTATTTTACCGAACAATTAAATACTCGATTTCTTTTTTTATCTATTTTTTTCCTCAATTTTCGTTTTTCCTATTTCAACAATTTCAACAAATATAGATATAGTCCAAAATCTCATATTATGTGGCTGGAGTCAATGTCCAACAAGGTCATTTAAATAATTGGAATTTATTACTATTGAAAATATAACTAACATACTTCCGTAATACTAGGGTTGATGTCAAACACAATCTTTTAAAAATAAAAATCTGGCATCATTAATAAGCAAATGATATATATTCCATTCAATCTTCCCTCTCTTTAATAATGCTATGAAAATGGAGTATGAGGAAAATGACATGGCCAGTTTTAGGGGAAACCTCAGAATCTTTTTTCTTTTGGGGCATCTTTATTTATGATAAACACAGTCTATATCCACATTAATTTTGCTGTTGCATAACCAAAAAAAGTGGCTCAATTTTGTCTTCAACCACATACACCATCAACTGTTTCTTTCATTCTCTGCAATTCTGCATAGAACACAACTGTCATATAGCAAAATATTTGTCCTTCAATTCTTCCCACGTAACTCAATCAAACAAACAACCATACGAAACCAAAGTTGCATACTGCATGTAAGTTAGCAGACAATATATATAATTCCCATTGAAGTCATTGAAGCTCATGTTTAAAGTTACATCGTGTAATGAAACTTACAAAGCTATAATAAATAAAGTAAATGTTTTGGAATTACTACAAACTATTAAGTGCATTCCAGCTAACAAATTATTTTCCCTTTTGTATTACTTTCCAGTTTCTCCCAGGTCCTTTCCCTAGGATTAAAAAAAGAGAAAAATAAATAAATAAATAAACCCTTATTGTGTTTATTTTTTCTTACATTTACAAGGGTATAAAGACAAGGTAAAAACACATCCAACCCTTATACGAAGCCATAACAAGCATATATGTAGAAACTTATTTATAGATCATCAAAAAGTGGCACTACATTGATCTTAGTGGAGTCTTGTAAGTTGACGACTTAAGTTGTTCCACATCCTTCATTTGTTATCGATAATTCCCCTGTCTTGTCAGAAATTTTCTTTGTGGAAATCGTACTTGGTGGATGTGTTGTGAGAGAAATCCAATGCTAGCTGACGAAGCTCATGGGTGAGAGCTGATGGCCCACAGTAAAACACCCCTGCATCACATAAATAAAAGCATCGTCATGTCTCCATCCACATTTAATTATAGGTCTTCAATTCAAAGAAACCTGTCAAAAATCATATTTTCATGCATGATGTTGATCACAGTAGTGACTAGCACGTGCGTCTTTCCAAAAAAAGAAGAAGCATATTCTTGTCGATACGCCATTATTGAAGTGTTTTGCGATAGAAATAGTGGGAAAACGGTTTCTGAGAAGCTATGGAGATAAAAAAAAAAGGTGATGAAAACACCATGGTTACAGTCACATGTCACCAAAAACTTGATTCAAAGATGAATTTGACGTACCAACACGAGCATTTGGATGATTAAGCGCAATGCGCTTGTAAACACTACGCCAATTGGGTTTGGCGAAGTGAGACATGACGCGCGTGCCAGAGACAATGTCGAGACCATGCTTGGCATGGTTGATGGACTGCAACATGGCAATGAGTGCAGAACGAGCGTCACCTTCTTCGTACACACTGGTGCAGTAACTGTGGAGTTCTATCACCTTCCTTCGATCCTCTTCTGCGACCTCGTTCATCACCCCTTTGAACCAGTCGAAGGAACCTTGCTCCCTCGTCACCCAGTAGAAGTATGCCCTCCTTGTCTTAAACTCATCACCACCACTCTTCTGCTGTGGTGATTTCCCTCCTTTTCCCTCCTCCATTGTCCCCTCTTCCTCCTCTATCTCCTTCAACCTCTTTACCATGTCCTTCAGAATGCTTATCATTGGGGTTGCCCCTATTCCTAGCCCCACCAGCAGAACCACCTCGTACTCCCTGTAGTCCTGTGCTGGAGCCCCGTACGGTCCATCCACCAGAACTCGCGGGAAACATCTGCTTCCATAGCACATTATCATCATCATCATCATCATCATAAAAAATCCATACTTTTTTCATTCCATGCTTTATGATTAACAGGGCCCTTTAGTATACACTCTTATCATGAAAAAGGTTAAGTTTTTCTATTCTCAGATTTATATCAGGTGCCTCTTTCTTCACCGAAAGATTAATTTTTTATAGGGTATGTTTCAGTAATCACATTTCAATTACAATATGCAAGTGTAGTTGACTCCTATCCTCTCACTGTGAAACCTTTTTTTCGGCTATGGATTTCTTATTTTATTTTTCTTGGGGGATCACAGGGTTATGTATTTTTTTTTTTTCAATACCTTATAAACTCGATTAATTATATGTTTGAACTGACAACTTAACTTGCATGCAGAAATTTTCAATACACTAAATAAATGCTTGAACTGACAACTTAACTTGCATGCAGAAATTTTCAATACACTAAATAAATGCTTGAACTGACAACTTAACTTGCATTCAGAAAATTTCAATAGGCGTCCTTATCACCCTCATTTTTTTTTTCTGAGTCAGATAACAGACAAATTGACAACTGAATTTATAATAAATCATACAAAATTTTGAAATATTTCACTACCATTCTCCTTGACAGTGAAAGAGAAGTGTGAGAATGCAATTATGACAGAAAATTCGATACAACAGGACAAGAAATATCAAATACGTGTTCGCAATATATATAGAGCTTACATATTATTGTTTTTGTTTTGAACATTAAAAACATTATATATATATTTCACTTTTATTTTGTTGTATGTACACATTTTAAAGATATGGCAAAATCAAGAGATAGGCAACGTTTCATTATCTCTTTTTAATCTCCACCTAACACTTTCCAAAATACTAAGCATGTGCAAAGGTGCCCTGAACATCTTGGTAGCTGTCATTGACCACAAAACGAAAATGGACAAACAAACATGGCCTGTGAGATGATGCTAGTGTTTTCTTAAATAATTTCAAACCCACTTGTTTAGTGCTATCCAGCAGCCATCAATTATTGGATTTATATTTTTCTCTAATAAAAATCAAAATTGGGTTAAGGGATTTTCAATACATTGAATGTTGAATTAGGCTCCAACTTTAGTTAAAAGTAGTTCCAGTGACATAAACTCCTGGAATGAGCAAACTTTACTATCATGAAACTCATCGAATTTCTTGAATAAATTAGTAAAATAAAACATGGCTTACATTGAACTGTTATCTCCTTTCAAGCATTCAGCTCTTAGAAGTCCACTCTGCCCATTGAGGGGTTGTTGGCATGCCTTGAAGAAATCAAAACAATGTAGACTGTTTAATTATGAGAAACCCAGATTTTAATAAAAAAAAAAAAATTATTACTAATTCACCTGTGAGAATTTGGTTTTCAGACTTCTGGTCCAATCACCAATTACTTTTATGTGAACGCTAAGGTAATCATCATCAGGGGCTGAAGTTATGGAAAATGGATGCCTGTGGATGCATAAACAATGAATATACATGAATTAAATTTTGTGAAATAAAGCTTACAAGCAACACATTTCAGTTATAAGATGGTTCTTCAAATGCAAACCATTCGAATGGAGAGACAGCAGCACAGTTGACAAACATGTATTGTCCACTTTTGTAGCTAAACCCCTGCGGCTTTGACATTTGAAGTGATAACACATTTCCAGGATAAAGAGTCACCTTCGAAGTTTATAACATGAACACTTTTTAGCCTCATCCAAAAGTAATCATGATGGAGCAATGTGTTTCTTTATGTCGTAAATAATTGAATTTTTATTGTTTGATACTTACCCTCAATATTTTGACAGACTTAATGCTTGATCTGAGTGCTCTAATCAGTCTTTCCAATGCATAAATGGTGATGGGAACTGCCAGATACATCCATGTCTACAAAACGCATAATATTAAGTGGATGTCAATCGATTATCTTTCGACTCAAAACAACTGTGTAAATAAATACACATAAGGGTTAACTGAAGGTGCTAACCGTTTTCTTGTACCATTCCTTAGTCAAGTACAGTTTGATTCCATGCACAACCAACAGGGCATAGACAAACACGAAGAGATGATGAGTATACCAAAAGGCATTGAAACCTGTGAGTTTGTTGAAGGGTTTGGGTAGTTTGGTCCGGCCTCTCCTGAATGCAGGGTTGGCCAATGTAAAAGCTATTGCCATTAGCACAATCATTATTATACCAGTTACTCCTTCCCATGATTTGAGAAAATACCAATAATTTGATGGTCTGTCTCCGAAAAAGGGTTTCATCAGTTTGTACTTTTCATCACTTGCATGAAGAAGGCGAGGAAAATCACAAGTAAGATGATAGATGGCATGTATACCAACACCAATTGCTATTGCCACAGCTATTACCTGAAAAAACACTATCATTAACACTACTAATTTCATGCCTTATTGACTTGTGAAAGCTGCTATAATCCACCAACCATGTCAGGTAAAATAGATATGTTTGTTTCTTTTCTTGTTCTTGAAAGAGCTAGCAGAATTGAAAGTTACCTTGTGGAAGTTGATGTTGTCGTCAAAAGGAACTACAGCACCTAGTTTGGTCTTATTTCTGAGCCAGGTGATGGTGTTTCGGCAAACAGGTAACAAGATAAGAGCCATGTTCAATTTAAGTGTCTCTGCTGCACCCTTTGCCATGCATACACAATGGCCCATTACCTCATAGGCAGCTCTTCTCCGATATTGCACAAATTTATAGACAAATAGGCCTAACATAACGCCAATCCACAGTGCAATTACCCAAGATCTTTGCCAATTGTCCAGCAAAATGTACTTGGCCTCCCTATACCACCTCATAATAGCACTGTCCACGTACGTAGGCTTGAGCTTCTGGCTTAGCATTTGGCTCAGGTTCTTGCTTTCTCCTCTTGTAGTTTCCTCTGGTCCATGCAACAAAAGTGTCTCCAGGCTGTCTATCTGTTTTTCCCCAACAAAATATGGCCAAAAAAGTTAAAGCAATTAGGCTGAGTAGAGAACTCTATAACATCGGATAGAGTTTTTACAATCTAGAGATTGCAGGATAGGATATTTCAGTTACCATGATGTAGCCGGAGTCATCAGGGTCCAGTTCTTCCATGATCAAAGCTGCATATTCCTCAGCTTGCTTCTGGATATTTGACAGTTTGTTGGCAGTGGCGCTAAGGCATATAATCTGAGACCAGAATTGATCACATATGATGAAGGAAATTCTTAATCAGATGAGTGGGAAAAATTCAGATTAGCAGAATTTGCTGATAAAACAATTTTATACTACTCAAAAGTAAGAAAAGTCTGTACAGCGGTGAATTATTGATTTTGTACTGCACCTCTTTAATTTCTTCCTCGGTGATTCTGCCATCTGCATCTTTATCAACCCTGCGTTGCAAATCCAAATCAACATCGGTGAAGGGTGATATATACTTGTAGGGAATCCAAACAAATGCTTCATGTTTATATTAACCGAAACAATGAATTACATGTCAAAGAATGTTTTGAGCCTAGTATCAAAGCTCTGGTCACAAATATGGTCCCAGAACTCCCTCAACTGGATCTTGTTAATGGAACCCCCTTGAATACCTCTCTGCCTAGCAAGAGTATCAAAAAGCTTCTCTGCATAAGCCTCAGACTCCTTGTTCAACCCTACAATCAAATCCAATGATATACTCAAAAAACTACTTTACATTCACATTCATGTCATTTGAAGTAAGACGATGGAGGGTTAGGTACCTAAGCATTGAGCAAAGAGAGCACGAGGAAGATAGCCATCAGTGGTAGCAGTAAGCTTCGCATACCGCTTCTCCACCTCACCCCATCCTGCACCACCATCGGTCTTGCTGATAAACTTGAGCCCCGTGAGAGCATGAGCCACAGCAGACTTTGTTCTTTCAAAGTGTTTTGGTGCTGGTTTGGAGAAAGAAGCCAAACGCTTCAGCTGCTTCATGCGGATAGCAGCATTCTGAACCACAGAGGCACCAAAGGATCTTTTTTTCTCAAGCCTCTTCCCCATCAAACCCAACTTCTCACCCTCCTCTTCCACCACATCAACACCACCAAAAGCTTTAACACTGTGTAAGGCCACAGAGTCACCTTGAATGTCCATGGTGACCTCAACATAGTGTCCTTCAACCTCATCCTGAGATTTGATGCCACCGTCAAGTCCAACATCACTGCCAGCTTTTGACTCTGAATCCCCTAACTTTGTGCTGTTGGTTTCAGTCCTTTCAGCATCAATAAGCTCTATGTCTGATTCATGGTGGTGAAGATCTGCAGAAGCTCCTCCCATTTTTTCTTTTTCTGATTCACACACACACACACTGACCCTGACACCAGTTTCAGGTCTCTTTCTTCACACTCATTTGTTTCTCTTTCTCTGCTGGCTTCCCCTCCTGGCTTTGCCTTCTATATGTACGTATGTTAACCTCTCGCTGTGGACAACAATGACAACCATATTATCATGGAAAAAGCTATTCAAAGTCACTTTATTTTCTATAGTACATGTCTTTCTTTATTTAAAGTATTTAGCTTATCTAAACTACTTGCACTTCTCTGTAACAAACAATGCAAATGTAGATTGTATAGCTTTTTGGTATGTTAATTTAATAACACCATTGTTTCCTTATTTAAGTTTAATCTTCTATATTTTACCATTCAAGCTTGCTTTTTTTTTTGCATTTTGTCATGAAATTTTCAATTTTTATATATTTTAATTTTATTTCCAGTGTCATTATGAGAGAGAAAAAACTACAATTTCCAACAATGAAAAGGAAAGATCATGATTGAAGTGTAAGTAGCTCATGTGTCTGTGTAGACAAAGGAGGTATTCCAACAACCGTGATACTTCTTTTCTTAGATATTCTAACAATGATTCGAATAATGGATTAATGATTGATAAAATCTTCCTAAACATATACAGAAAACAAATTTAAAAAAGCCACATGCTAATTAATTGAATTCACAAATTGGAATGAAACAAAATTCAATTCTCATTCATTTTGTTAATGGACAATGTGATTTTTTTTTCTACTCTTAAAATCATTGCCTTTTTTATGATTTTTTTAGTTATATTAAATTTATAAATTTACTATATATCAGATCTATCTTATTCTATCCCAATATATTATATTATGTTACTTTAATATAGTTTGACCTTTGAGAGATTTAAAACATATCAATAAATTAATATTCTACCTCATTGTTAGTAGTCACCACACTGAACAAAAATCTTAGAAGATAAGCAAAGAGCGTAATGAGAGGCATAGATCATGTATGTCACAATGCCACTATCTTTTTCTCTTTTCTATCCAATCCAATTCATTCTTACTCTAACCAAATTAGGTCAAATTCCAATTAAATTGTTAACAAATATATTTAATTGAGTAAATTAATTTAATCATCAAACTCCTACTCAATTAATCATGTTGGAAGATTAAAACCAATCTTCCTTTTAAGTCTGTTTGTTTTTTAAGTAATATATTTATTGGGAGAGTAAATTTTCAAATCAGATGATTATTGGTGAGAGGTTACCAATAAAGATACTCTTACGCTTAAATTAATAATAAAAAAAAATATTTTATAGGGACTTTATTACGTTGTGAAGCAGGTACAAAACCATATTAGACAACTTTTAACTAAACCAATTAAACTAATTAATTTTACATTCCTATTTCATCGTCTTTGCGACCCTATTCAAAGGAGCACATTAGTTGAAAGAGGTTGTTATGGATGTCCATTACTTATTTATTCAATTTATTATTGTTTGATTGGACCCACACCACCACTGCAAAACTAAACACATTCCATTCAATTTCAATTTTTAAATCAAAGATTTAAATCTTGCACATGCATGTACTCTGCTGTCACACTCAAACACATTTTTTTAATATCAACATTTTAATTTATTTACAAGTTCAATACAAAATTAATCTTTATGTTTTTAGTGTAATAAATATTTTGGGTTTTATTAAGTAAGTATTCTTTACTTTCATTTTTTTTAAATAATGTCCCAGACATTCCTTTGTCCTTTTATTAATAGGTTTGGATTTTTTTTTTTATTTTACATGAGGATGGTACCAAAAGTTTGATACTATCAACTATAATTCAGTTTTATTTTAAACATCATTTTCAAATTAGTTATTATTATTAAAAAAATTTATTACAGATAGTGATTTATAATTAGATTAAAATTTTAATATAAGTAAGTTATATGTCAAATTTAATTTTTAATAATTGAGAAAAAATATTTAATTAATTGGTTAAGTTTATATTGTTGTTTCTCTTATTTGCAATTCCTATTGACTTGACTTTGGTAACTCAGATCAAGCTTTTTAATTAGATTGGGAAAACCAATCATTCAAATTAAAAACCTAATTTTTATATGGAATCTTTACACAATAGTCAACACAGCACAACCACTCAATAATTGTTCCGAAAACAATCGAATACATATATAAAAATCAGATCTTTTATTGTAAAAATATGAAGTGATGATTGAAATACGGAAAAACAATAATAAAATAATTTAAGTGCAAGAAATTTTATAATTAAATTTCTATAGAACTAAAACTAATACAGTTTATTGTAAATTTACATGTTCACTTCTAATTATTTTAAGTTAAAAGTTGTTTTATCTCATAATATATTTTCTTATTTCCCTATTATTTTAATTCCCAATATCAGGTTTTTATTTTTAATAAATAGTTATTTTAGTTTAACCGTCCAAATCAAAATAGTGATAGTTAATATATTAATTTTGATTTTAATGTAACACGATTTCTAACTGACCTCATACTGATTATTTTAAAGTAATTATGGTTATGTAAGTGTATCATTTTTTTTATATTTTTTTTCCTTAATGAATAAAATATAATGGTCAAATAACACTTATTAGAATGTAAGTTGAAGCTAATATTATTATAGTGACAATCAACATTTTTATTTATTTAAATAGTTAAAGTAAGATATATATTTTACAAATTTGGACGCCAGATGTCTCTATTTTAAAAGACGAAATAAAATTATATTTTAATTTCATATAAAATTTATATAAATCACTATTGAATAAAAGAAATCACATTTCGAATTTCGTAAGTGTAGTAATTCATGTTTCAACTTACATGTCCTAAGTTTACATTAAAAGTGTGCGTATCTTACGTACTTCTATATTTTCTCTACCATTTTCGTCACGTTTTAATTATTTTTTCTCTCACGCATGTCCTTTGTCGTCTACATTTTCCTTCTCTTACTGATGTTTTTTTATTCTCTTGTCTTTTTTCTTTTTTTCAAGTACCCCTTCTGTGTTCATTGTTCTCTTCATCCTCTTCTAACATTTATCATTTTTTGTTTTGTTTTGTTTTTTCATTTTTCTTTTACCATTATTTTGGATAAATATGTGTAGGCTTTTTTATTTGTGTGTTTGTATTCCTTTGGCCAGTTGAAAATAATTCAAATGAAGTTTTTTCAAATTCAAAAAATATTAAATTTGAATTATATATGAAAAATTGTTTTATTTAAGAACGAAATTGCCTCATTTTTTATATTTGATGTCATCATGTTAGTAAGATAAATTTTTATGTTTAAGGCATTATCTATTTTAAATTTTTCATTTATTATAATTTTGTCTTTAAAATACATATCGGTAAGTTAAGAAAAAATGACGACAGATTAAAATTTTTAAATAAATAATACCTTAAATATAAAAATTGATACTAATGGAGATGAAAAAAAAAATTATTTTTTATATTCTTTTCACAAATATTATGATTACTAATAATGGGTAATTAAAGTCATAACACCTTGTTAATTCCAAAATTAACATATGAATTAATATAATTTGTTTAAAAAAATATACAAAATTGGGGGATATTGATATTATATCATCTTATTTTTATATATTAAAACAAGTGATAAGGTAGGTGGTAGTTTTTGTTTTTAAAGAAAACTTGATTTGGTTATGAATATTATGTAAACTATTTTTAATTGGGTGCCTGTTGATTTTATAATGTTAAGTTAAACTTAAATATTAATTGTAATATGAAATTAACGAATCCTCGTAACATCTGGCTTTTGCGACTATTGCTTTCGATAACAATGTCAAGTTTAGCTGAAACAAAACAAAGACACCACAAAACAAAGACAAATGAAACAATAAGCCTCAAATTTCGTGACTGTGAAAATGTGTCCAAGATAAATTCAAACCAACGGCTCTCTAAAAATAAAAGCAAATCAATTGAATATAAATAATAATTTTGCTTAATAAAGCCATTATGTAATTTGATTACTCCTTTGACTCTTATTAGTATGTCAAAATATAAATAAAATTATTATTTTGTCGTATTTATAAGTTTAATATTACTTAGAGATAAAGTTAATAATATTTTATATATATATTTTTTTCTAATATAAATAAAATTAGTATTTTGTCGTATTTATAAGTTTAATATTACTTAGAGATAAAGTTACTAATATTTTATATATTTTTTGGTTTCTTAACTCGTATTATTTTTTTTAATATGAGAATTAATTCTAATAATATTATTGTAATAAATATGAGATTAAAATACTTTTATTCTTAAATAGAATATTGCAAGAACAATGGACCATCATGGTAAAACTGACAACATGTATATATACTATCTCCTTTTAATCCCCTATATATTTGAATAATTTGAATCAATTAATCTTTAGTGAATATGAAAATCAGTCTACAAATAGTTGAATAATTTTTTTTTTAAATTATATTTTGAATTTTTTTTCCCTACAAAATAAAAAAGTTAAAATATTTTAACTTTAAAATTTAAGTTTATTTAACCATTAGAACAAAAAAAAAAAGATTTAATGAGAATATAGAGAAAGAGCGCTGTGGAGTTCTGAATTCCAAATAATTTGAATTTGATGATAGACAGCTAATTTTAAAGACTTTAAAAGAGAGACAAAGTGAAGGTGCATGTGTTGTTTGGTGGGGATAATGACTCACCAAATCCACTTAGCAAACATGTTTTGGTGCAAATCACTTTTGTTCGAAGGTCATAAAAGCAATCACTCAATTCATTGAATTTCGCTGCTGTTTTCCACCTTTCCAATGTTTCAAGCTCCATTCAATAACTTTTTATCTCCTGCATCTCAATTCATTTTATTTTCATATTCGATATTATATGATGTCTCAATCATTTATAATCGGAAAAAATGTTAAGAAAAAATTAATATCATCTGTCGCAAAATTTAAAATATAATTTATATATTTATTAATTAATTTATTTAATATTAATTAACACTTTTAAATAAAGAATATCATTCAAACTATCACGTTTCTTCTTCTGAAGGACCCATGAACAGTTATCAAGCAGGCTTTATACGTTATTTTGCTCACTGTTATAAAATGTCGGTAGTATGGAAGGTGAAAACAAGTTGTAATTCAAGATGAAGTTTTTTGGTTTCAACAATTTTAAATAATTTAATATTTCTTTTACTTATACTCAATAAGAGTAATCCTTAAATGTAAATTTAGTTATAATCAAATTCATATTCTTTTTTTAGTTTTATTATCGTTTCAATTCATAAATATAATTTGTTTGTTGAAAAATAAAATATTACCATTTAAATATAAAATGAAATAAAAATCAAAATAATCATCCTTAATACTATGAGAAAAACAAATCATAGAAGAATATATAAATAACTCCACACATGAACGGAGGAGATGAAAGAGAGAAAAGGGAGAGTATGAAGCTAACAAAAAATTAGAGAAAAAGATACAAGAGAGAATGATTTTCATTAATCATAATGGAATGTGTAAATTATTTTACATGGAAAAAGAAAGATAAGAGTCAATAACCAACTTCTAATAAATGTGAAATTATTAAACTAATAATAGAAAAATATAAAGAATTATTAAAAATATTTTATGGGAAAGGAGAATGGTTAGGGTTGTTAAGTATTGCCAGGAAAGTCGTGACATCCCCCTTCAAGCTTTGAGTGGTGAAGGAAGAAAGTCCAAGCTTAGACACAAATGAGTAGTATAATTGAGGTAAAAAAAACTTTGTCAAAAAATGTTTATGCAAGTTAATCAGAAGAAGGAATAAGAGTGAGATGAATGAGACCAGCTTGCATTTGAGTAAAATACAAGATTAACACCGATGTATAAGGCAAATTGGTTATCACAAAACAAAGATATTGGTGTGAGATCATGAAAACCAAAATCTAATAATAACTTGTGCAACTACTATGTCTCACATACACCTAATATTATGGCCTTTCAGCTTCATACCAAGATCTTGATACTACACTTTATTTCTTGCTTTTTCATAAAATAAAGGTATCACCAAGAAAAAAACATAAACTGAATGAACCTTCTTAAATTTGGGTAAGTGGCCGAAGGTCTGTACTTCTTGTAACAAGTGAGTGACCTCTTTTGCCACAGTAAGCACACATTTTAGAGATCTAATCTCGGCCTTTCTTGATTAGTTTGGATCCTCTAGAAATAGGTTTATCTAAATCAGAGGTTACAATAAATACTTGATAGTCATTAATACCAATGAACTCATGTTCTTGTAAGAGCATGGAGAAAACCTTCCCAACTGAAGGTAAGGGATCCTATCACAACTAGAGTCACAGGGCGACAAAAAATATTTCATTTAGATTAGAAGAAAAGGTTTGAGGATGCCAACAAAATTTATTCTAAAAACTATAAAAAATCATAAAAATAAGATAAAATTAATGAAAACCAAATTTTAGATTCAAAAATCGATTACACGTAAAAAAAAGTATTAACCCCCTAAATACCTTTAATTAAATGCTCAAAAGTAACATGATTTTCAAAATATTTATTTCCAAGGAAAAGAATAGATAAAAACATTTTTATTTTTATTTTTTTAGGTCCGACAGGAACGAATCTCGCTCCCATGTGTTATCATTCAAATTAAAAAAATTCAAGAAACATATTTTTGAAAAATATTTAGTATATATTTTTTTCTTAAAAAAAATAATTACAAAATATATTACAAACAATTGAATGGTAGTGCCGACAATCCAAATTATGCTGGAACAATTTATTTTAAAGAAACATAATCTTGTGTCTTAAAAATATTATTTTGAAAAGAATTAAAAATAAACACTAATTTAGCGGTGCAAATGACCAGCATCAAAGCGAGTAAATTATAAATAGATTAACTCAACCCTTAGTGAGTTAGATCATTAACCCATATATAATTCTTTTATTTTATTTTAATAAACACACATAATAACATAATAAATTTTGTAATGCAACTAAAATAACACAAGCACTGTAATATAACTAAAACTTTGACATAACAAAATTGATAATTAAAACACCACAAACATTATAAATAATAATCTTGAATGAAAATTTAATTTGTAATAATGACATGAAACAAAAAGTGAAAAAAAAACATCAATTAAAATTAATAAATAATTATTAATTATTTTTAAAATTTAAAATAAATAATAAGTTACATATCAACTTACCTAACTCGACTTCAACTCACTGTGACTGGATTCCAACCAGCTTAATCCGTAGTTTAAGTCAACCCGATTTAATTTTAATCCATTATCATAAAAAATAAAAATAAAAAAATCGAAGCTACTCGAATCTGAACCAGCCCCCGAGTTAGAACTCACGTTGACTCCTCTACAAATTACCATAGCTACAGCGTTCTCGTGAAAGCCAGCAACCCAAATGACCTAAATCGTGGATGACTAAATCAGATAACTAAGGGCCGATAGTCGCTAAAATTTAATAACTAAAGGCCGACAACCGCTAAAGCCCCCACTAAATAAATATCAAAATGAACCACAAATCCAACACTTCTAACACCAAATAAACTCGTCCCGCAGGAAACATATCACATCTAAATAAAAGCCCAACCAAAAAATCAATACACCCAGACACACACAGAACCAACCACCTGGCAACAACAAACTAAACTCAATGAAACCCAAATTTTGAACAAAAATTTGGCAGCATAACTGGTGAAAAATATTACATACCAACCAAAAGACTCACGATCCTTAACAGTCCAAAAACAATTACAAGTATACAAAATTAAATCCAAATCAGCCAACCAAATACAATACCACATTAGACACTGAAAGTGAAATTGCACACAAAAATCAAATAGAAGATGAAAATAAAATTAGAAGAGAAGAAAGGGGGCTCGCTGCTGGGAAAGCGATGGAGGCTCACGGTGGCTGGAACGGAGAGAGTGAATGGGCGCTGTGGTGGAGGCTGGGTGCGACTGGGAATGGGGGGTTGGGCTGTGGAGGCGTTCGCGGTGGAGGATGAGGATGGAGGTGCGGTGGGGGCTGAGATGGTCACGCGGTGAGGCGCTGCAATCGGAAAAGATGGAGGCGCGGGTTCTGTGCAAGCTAGGGCTTCAAGAGGAGAGTCAAAGAGCCGGTGAAGGCCACAGGTTAGGGGAAAGGGAAGGAGAGTGGGCGGCAAGCTGGCGGTGGTCAAACTGGTTTGCGGAAAATATGGGGAAAGCTGATGTTGATGGTGAATGGGGAGGGTGAAGTGGAGGTGTGAGGTAGCTGAGTGAGGGTAGTGAATGGTGAAGGCGAGTGTGAAGGGTGGGTGGTCGAGGTCCAGGTAAGGAACCTTGGTGAAGAAGGCGCAAAGGTTGTCTAGGAGATGGAAGGGTAGTTGTGGGGTGATTTTGGAGGTGGAGAGGCTTGAGAGTGGAGGCAAGCCAAAGTTAGTCGTGCGGGTGAAGGGGGTCGTCGTGAGAGTGGAAGGTGGGGCAGCGAGGAGAAAAGGGGACAAGGTTTGCGTGAGATGGGGCAGTTGACATCTGTTAGTGTAAAATCGAGAAAGATAATCGATAAACGAACAAAGCGATAATAATCTTTTCGATGTCCAATTATAAAGAACGTAGCAGATAAAATCGAAAGGTAGAGTCAGGAGGATAGGAGTGATAGTCGAAGACTTAACATGGAACAAACCAAGAAATCTGAAGTATATGATGTTTAGGTTAGAAATGAATCGATGACAGGTATGCAAAGTTCTCGATTAAGTCAAAATCGAAGAGAAGGCTCGTCTACGTGGATATCGAAACCCCCGGCTAAACCTTGAAGGAAAATAGTCAAAACGCACGTATGGAAAACAGTTTCTAGGTTATGGAAGAGTCGAAGATCGTGAGAACGTGGGAAACCATAAAAGAGGAACTGCCTTATGCACGTATAACGTGGTATCAGTCTTGTTAACTGCTCCTGGAAGGCTTAAAAGAGATCCTATAAATAGAGCAAAGGAGAAAGAAAAAGGGGAGCAGAAAATTGGCAGAGAACAGAATCAGTAGTAAAAAGTCTACCGGAGAAACGACGAACACCATGAAGTTTCTGGCAATCTGGATTTCCTTGCTCACTGAGTACATTTATCGCTTTCTGTATTTTCCTTGGTAATTTACTTTCGAGCCATTTCAATTCAGCAATTTCATATTCTTGTAAATTACATTCAATGTCATTTCGATTTCCTGTTATTTACTTTTTGTGCAATCTTAATGGGTTTTAGCAATTTACAATTCCCGCACACTTCGATTTCCTGTTATTTACTTTTTGTGCAATCTTAATGGGTTTTAGCAATTTACAATTCCCGCACACTTCGATTTCCTGTTATTTACTTTTTGTGCAATCTTAATGGGTTCTAGCAATTTACAATTCCCGCACATTTCGATTTCCTGTTATTTACTTTTTGTGCAATCTTAATGGTTTTTAGCAATTTACATTTCCCGCACATTTCGATTTCCTGTTATTTACTTATCTTGCAAACTTAACTTCTTGCAAATTTGGGGTTTTCGCACTTTCTTGCAATTTAATATTCTCTTTTCTCGATTCGATACTTTATTGCTTTGTTTGAGTCGAACATTTCAAATTTGGGATTTATTTTATGCACTTTACTTTTTCTCGCAATTTAATATTCAAGTTTCTCGATTCTATACTTTTACTGCTTTCGATACTTTGAACACAAAACACCAAAAAACAGCGTTTTCGATATCTTGTAATCTTTGATTCTCATACTTGTTTTCGATTGAAAGTCAGACTGCTAGCCTAAGTAAAAAGAACTTACGTGGGAGAATTTCGATCAAAAGACCAAAATACCCTTAGAACTGAAATCGATCGAAATTCCACCAGAAACAAAATGGCGCGCCAGGTAGGGAGAATCTTGTGTTGAAAAATACAAAATTGGTTAGTTCGAAAGTGTATGAGATTAAGGAGTGGTAGAGTTGTGAGAATGAGTCAGAGTTCATCGAATAACCAAAACAATAATGAGGGTCTAAATAGTGCGTCTCCGCCAAACACTGGGGGGCAAGGGCACAATGGGAGTATGCCTGTAATATCGACGACTATGTCGATACCTGTGAGTAATGAACAAAATTCAGGCACTTTAGCAAATACCCAAGTAGGATCTAGTACGGCGGTATTAAACAGTACGCAAAATATGGGAAACCTTACAACAACATATGCAGGGCCATATGCAAGTGTAAGACTGCCTGGGTTTTCGCTCAATAATTTGAATGGGACTGGTACTTCATCGGTACATAGAATTCCGAGATATAATTTAGGAATGCCGCAAAATTTTGGAGTCTCTCCAAATTTAGGGGTATCTCAAAACCTAACAATCCCCCAAAATTCAGGGAGTGGACAGAATGTAGGCACACAACAGATACCTCCAAATCTAGATCAGAGGGGAAACTTAGATCATGGGAGATATGCGTTCGATAGGGATTATCATCGATCCAATTTTGATACTATTGAAAATACTGGTACTGGGATATCCAGTAACTCACTAGGGATACTTAGACAACAAATGGATGAAAGTAATTTTGAGATGGTAAATATGTTATCACAACAATTGACTACGGTCTTAAATCCATTAGTCCAGAACACAACTGCTAGTTTCGAGATATTAGCAGATCAAATGTCACGTATCGGGGATGCATTGGCAATACCTAGACAGACAAGGGTAGAAAATCATGTTAACCAAAATGCTAACATGAATCCCCCATATTTATTGAGAAGAAATCGAAACAATGATCAACAAATGGGAAATGAGTACCAACATGTGAGGAATGACATTTATGGAAATTTGAACGAAGGATTTCAAAACATACATAATCAAAATAATATGCAAAACAATCACATGTTAGGACAACGAATGAATTTACAAGGGATGGAATTTAGACCACCCAATCAGACATATTTTGTGTCTCCCTTTCCGAATGCGATTCTCGAAACAGAATTGCCCCGAGGATATAAAGTACCTAAATTCACTAAATTTGCTGGAGAAGTTGGTGAATCGACAATCGAGCATGTGGCTCGATATCAGATTGAATGTGGAGATCTAGCGATGAGTGAAGAATTAAAGATGAAATATTTTCCTAGTTCTTTAACTAAGAATGCTTTTACTTGGTTTACGTCATTACCACCCAATTCGATATATAATTGGCTGCAATTGGAAAGAAATTTTCATGAACAATTCTTTAGAGGAGAAACTCAAGTAAGTCTCATCGACTTGATGAATATAAAAAGATACAATAATGAAAACATAGATGATTATTTGAATCGATTTAGACAAATGAAATCGAGATGCTTTACTCAAATTCCTGAATATGAATTAGTCAGAATGGCTTCTGCAGGTTTAGAATTCTCGATCAGGAAAAAATTAGTCAATTTACCATTGAATGATATGGCTCGATTAGGCGATAAAGTGAGAAGAGTAGAACAAATCGAATATGAAAAACAAAGATATAGGAAATTTGAGAAACCAATGAAGAAAGAAAGAATTGCATATGTAAATGATGTGTATGAAACGGATCCACGACGAGAGAATGATGTGGAAGAAACTGTCGATGAGAAAGTAAACATAGCAGAGCTTAGAGTAGGAGCTCCGTATATCCGTAAAATGCTACAAAAGAATGAAGTAAAAGATAAGATGGCAAATCGAACATATACTTTCGATGTGACAAAAGCCGATAAAATTTTCGATATCTTACCTGAAAGATAAACAGATTAAATTAAGTGATGATCATAAACTGCCTTCACGAGGACAAAGGAATGGTCGAAAATATTGCAAATTTCATAATGTTTATGGACATTGGACTAACAATTGCATACATTTCGGGAATACGATCCAAGATGCGATTGACCAAGGAAGGTTGAAGTTCGAGGAAATGACAATGAAAGTTGACACGAGTCCATTCGAGGCTCAAGTTGGATACCTCGAATCCCAGACGAGACATTACCGATGATGTCCAGATTAACAAATTCGGCCTTTATAGGCATGGTCGATGTTACTGAAGACATTGATCCCAAACATGTTAGGATGGATGTATCCGAGGAAGATATGGAATTCGACCTGAATGAATTCGAGAAAGAGTTCGAAAAAGAGATCTACCCTCAACCGGGAGATTCTCTCCTTGAGTTTTTGAATAGAAAGAAAGAAAAAGACGAAGATGTGTCATTATGCCCGCGGTGCAGTGCAGTGTTTGATAAATCGGCTGCTAAAGCTTTCAAATTAGAACAGATAAAGAAGATCGAGAGCCAAAATAAGAGGAAAAATGACAAAGTGAATCAGACGGCCCAACCAATGATCGAAGAAAGTCAACAGAAATCCGTTGGTTCTGATATTAGCGGAAATCAAAGGCAATGGGTCAGAAGAGAGATGTATCCTTCTCGAGGAAGAAGAAGCAGACTTCAGAGCAGTGATGTCTTCGAGAGATTGTCATACGATGAGGGATCGAACACTGGATTCCCAACCTTCCAAAGAAGATTCAGAGGAAGACCCTGGAGAAGAGGGGGAAGGATTCCTTATTGGAATAATTATAGAAGTTTTGAAGAGAATATTGCACCGATGGAGAGTCGATATGCAAGAGAATTCTTCGATGATAAAAATGAGGGTACCTGGGATGAGCATCAAATCGGAGTGATCTCGATACTACCGGCAGAATATGTTAGTGAATATCAAGACTACCAAGAACAGAGTGACGCCGATCGAGAGGATGATTTCTACTCAGAGAACATAAAACCAAAGATAACATGGGTCACACAAACCTCATGTGAAGTACCTCATAGAGATGCTGCCTTCATTGACCCTCCGTCAGAGGAAATGAGGTTCCATTTGAAACCATTATTATTGAATATCGAGATTCAAGGGCAGATGGTGAATAGAGTCCTTGTCGATGGTGGAGCTGCAGTGAACATACTACCAATTACTATGCTAAAGAAATTTGGCATCGAACTGAAAGATTTAGTCAAGCACAATATTATGATTTCCGATTTCAGCGGAAAAACATCAAGTTCAGAAGGCATGATTGCCTTAGATGTGAAAGTGGGTACTTACTCGAGGCCTACTGTATTTGTTGTAGTCCAGTCGCATGCCAATTTCAATGCATTACTTGGCAGAGAGTGGATTCATGGAGTAGGAGCTGTGCCTTCGACAACCCATCAGAAATTATTTATGTGGAATCGAGATGGACATCTCGAAGTAATCCCAGGAGATCAGCACGAATTTGTAACATTCGTATCTCAGGCTGATCGAGCACTGCAGAATCTGGCGCTTGCTCAACCATTCACCTTCGAAACAGTCGAAGATTTCAATTCAAAACTGCATGAAGAGCGTTTCCTAGAGATGAATGAGAAGAAAGGATTCATCATGATCAAAGAGGGGGCCAACCTCGAAGTGGCGGGTGAAGATGAATAGAGAATACGAAGAGTTCTTGGCTCGATTGGGAAAATATGAAGATGGAAAGAAGAGCCAAGAAAGTAGTAGTAGTAGTAAAATAGGGATAAATAA